TATGTATATGTATATATATATATATTTATGTATATGTATATATATATGTATATATATATATATATGTATATGTATATATATATGTATATATATATATATGTATATGTATATATATATGTATATATATATATATATGTATATGTATATATATATGTATATGTATATATATATGAATATATATATATATGTATATGTATATATATATGTATATGTATATATATATGTATATGTATATATATATGTATATGTATATATATATATGTATATGAATGTATATATGTATATGTATATATTTTAATTCCTCTGAACTTCTCTTGTTCAGCTTAGTCGCAGATGTCCTGAGCATTCTGAACTCTGCTGCTCTCGGAACCAACTCACAGCATTCTCTCAGCATTCTGAACTCTGCTGCCCTCGGAACTAACTTACAGCATTCTCTCAGCGTTCTTCTGAACTCTTCTTCTGAACAGCTTTGAACTAGGAAGTTTTGAACCCTTTAAGGAGTTCTGTTTCCGGTTCATTTTGAGAACTTCCTGATTGGTCAATCGACCAGACAGGGTGTGTTTTAGTGATGTAAGAGGTTATTAAAAGTCAAGGAAAAAGATTAAGTTTGTTTAAGAACAGACAGAAGATTGTTATGAAGAACCCAGACTTCGTGGAGTCAATTCTCTAATATATTCCTGTAAAAGTTAAACATGACATTTCTTTTCCAATAAACTTGCAGTTGACCGAAACTTGACCTTTGACCAACTTCACAATTTGCTCATTTCAGACAGAAGGTCAAGAAATTGAATCATTACTCTGTAACACATTCTAACTTGATTTCCACTTTGAATGAGGATTAAAAATCACTAATACTGTTTCACAGTTGATTCAGAATGAGTAGTTCACTTCAACATTTGAAAATGGTTTGAACTAAACACACTTTCATTTATCAAACCATTTGTAAAATAGTAATGATAATAGAAAAAGAGAGTGTTCTTTCAATTGATCAGTGCAGGACACTTAGAAAGTCTCTGGATGAACTTAATCTTGTGTTTCTGGACTCAAATCAATGAAATACAGTTCTTGTTCTAGGAAGGCCCTCAAGGCCAGGTTTTGACCTGAGGCTTAGTTCACTAC